AATTCTAAATTCATTTCTATATTTAAAAATCAGCTCTACTTCTTTAAAAGTATTTTAAATAAGTCAAAACACCAAAAGTAAAAAAATATTTCAAAGCACACTGTAAAAACAAAAAAAAAAAATCTGGGGGCAAAATTAGCAGACAGCACAGATGTGAGACCAGATGAGATAAACCATTTCTTTTTAAAGGACTTAACAATTTACAGTCATATTACAAGGAACGAGTTTTGCTAATGGATACATAAATTCTTTTTGTCTCATTTTTTGACAGAACACAGTGAAAATGAGTTGGTGAAAATAACAGCCATAGATAGAGCTAAAATGAATAGCGTGCTAAAGGCAGGGTAAGACCACACACCATGAAATGTAAACAGAGGAGGAAAAACCTAGATGCCAGACAGGAAGAGAAGAACCAGGAGAGCAGTCTTTACAAATAGAGGTAAATGTAACTAAGACTGAAGAAAATCTGATAGGTTTTAAAGAAAAAAGCAATTATTCCTGAACATGCAGAGAGTTCTATAGAATAGATAAAATTCAATTTCCTGAGCTCAATTTAGAACTTTTCTCAACCCTATACAATCTTGCTTTCAATAATAATCAATGATTTATATCAGGGCAAGTCATTTTCCTCTGAAAGGTTGGTGTGTTTTTTTTTTCAAATAATTGGAATAGGTTTACTGGCCCTAATTAAACACTGGATATATCATCTCTCAGCAGTATCTCACATTCTAAGATAAACAACTGTTATTTGATTGGCATGGGAACATTAGCTTAATGGAGTAAGAGGATAATAAAGGCTTTTAAAGGCAAACAAATACTATTTTACACATGTAATATTGTTGTGTTTTGTAGGTAAACATTTTAAAAAGTATTACCCATGTTTTGTAGTTGTCAGATATATTTTTAATTTGGCACTTATTTATTAAAAAAATGCTCTTTCGATATGTTAAAGTATGAAGTAAACTAAAAACAAGACAAAAATTACTTCTCAAAGAAAGAACAAAAAGATTTATGATTATAACACAAGTTTAACCAACATTCTTATAATTTCTTAATGAAAAGGCTACCTCATTTTTAATTTACAAAGATTATTTATATAAAGTCATGCTCTTATTATTAATACTACTAAGAAAAGACAAAAAGTTATTAAAAAATTAGAAGTCCTGTTCTATAAAAATTAATTGTATAAATTCAGCCATTTAGATCTTAACAAAAACCATGTTGTTATTGTTGTTGTGTGCCACTGAGAAGGAACTGACCCATAGCTGACCCTCCAGTGGGTTTTCAGTTAATCACACGGGAGGAGAACAGGGAGGACCTGGTGGACTTGAATTGCGCAGCTTCAGATCTGCAGCAAAAGATCTTGCCACAAGGCTGCCAGACACCAACAGCCACCAGAGCTCCCTGACAATTTACGTACTCATTAAATGTCTAATTTTTTATATAATATATAAATTTAAGAAAATGAAAAGGGACAATATAGTCATTCACTCATTCAAATAACAAATATTTATGGTATGCAAAATATTAAGGTAGATCTTTGTAATAGAATTCTTGTTCCCAAGTGTCTGAAAATGAAAATAAACAAATAAATATAAGGACAATATATGGTAAAGTGCCATAAAAGTGATATAACTAATACAAAGTTTTAGGGAAAGAATGATAATTTCTAGCACGTAATCAAGGACAAGCAACCCTGGTGGTACAATTGTTAAAACAATCAGTGACTAACCATGACACCGACAGTTTGAACCCACCAGCTACCTGCTTGATGAGAGAAAAGAGGCTTAGTGATCTTGTGGGGAAACTCATCCAACTGGAATACATAATTCATAAAGATAATGGTCTATATCCTACTTTTGGGAGAAGCATCTGGGGTTGTAAGAACTTCTGAGGGGGGTAAGAGTGAGAATGAATTAATTGATGAATGAATAAACGAACGAATGAAAACAAAGTTTCAAAGAAGAAACTAGTCCACAACACTGAATGCTTATATAAAGCACAGCTCCATCTAGACTGGGACTAGCAGAACAATATGGTGACTGGCTACCACAACCAACAGTTCTGACCAGGGCCTACAGGAAGCCCTTAAGACTGTCACTCTTTTAACTTGTAATTGAAGCCACTTCTGGAAGTCACCTTTCTGTGAGGAATTCATTCCCTTAAAGAATCAACTACATGAGACATTTTACCCAAAAACAAAGAAAAGAAGGCACAAAGCAACATGGAAATAAAACAAAGAGAACAGAAACAATGAGGATGCTAACACATTATTAAAAATTGTAACTAATTTTGTCATGGAACAATGCACATAAAAATGTAAAATAGAAACTTACTGTACAAACTTAGCTAAAGCCCAAGAATATATTCAAAAAGAAAAAAATCTGGATATCTGCTTCTGTAAAGATTACAGCCTTGGGCGAGCTCTGGTGGCCTAGTGGCAAGAAGATGCACTGCAATCCCAGAGCTGCGCAGTTCAAATCCACCAGATCCTCTGCTGGAGAAAGAGGAACAATCTCCTCCTGTACCACCAATCAGATCCAATTTGACGGAACACACACACACAAATAAAAAAGAAATAAAAAATAAACAAATAAATATTACAGAATTGGAAACCTTATGATTTGATATGTCTAAGGATCAACTCACTAGCTCATTTATTGTCACTGAGTTGGAAGTGACTTAAAGCTAAACCACTGGCAAGTTTTCATGTGCCGATTAACCACACAGGAGGAAATTGCCTATCTTCTTCCCTAGGAGTGCCTGGTAAATGAAAAACACTAGAGAAGTTTGTAGTACAATTCCTTATGGACTACACTACTACCAGAGCTCCCTAAAGATCAATTGGACAGCACGTAATCACAATAGAGAGGGAATGCTACATAAAGAAAATGTTATGAGCTGGATAATAAATCAGGGTCGATGAAAGGATAAGATTTCACACTTATGAAGTAAGTGTCCCATTTCCCTACATGGCCTATGACACATTTTAGCTTCTGCAAGATAAAAGGGGAGGAAATTAAAGCAGAGGGAGGGACCTCAGTATTACTAAGAAAGAATTTCCAGGTATAGCGTGCACAGGTTTGAGTCTAGGTTCTTGCTGGAGGAAGCACATTGACCCAGGGGAAGGCAAAGATGTGTCAATCTCCAAGGAATGCTGCAGGAAACAAGAAATAAAGCCTTTCCTCTGGAGAGGAAAAAAAGCCTTCCCCTAGAGGCAGAGCCATGAATTTGAATTTCCCAGCCTCTTACACTGTAAGAGAAAAAAAAACTTGTTAGTCATTCACTCATGTTATTTCTGTTGTAGCAGCACTAGATAACTAATAATAAAAATACAGAAATGTAGAGTATTAAGAATGAAAGTATTATTAAAATCTCTTGTGAATACATCTTGACAGTGGGTTAGGAAGCACAGCCCAATGTTTAAGATTTCTTTGGAAAGGGTTGTATACCTTAAAAAGATAAAACTGCTCCTCTATTAAATATCTCTGCTTCTTAAGATGAAAAAATAGTATTTCCTCTTGAAATTTTCTAAGAAACTAATACTTCAAGACAAATGATTATCCTCTGTGTTCCTAAAATGATCCCAGTAAGAAGGAACAGGACAGAATGAAGTGAGGAATGAAAGGGAGGCATAACTGAAGTGGAGGTTTAGATCAAGGAATAGGTGTTTAATCAGTCAGGCTCTAGCCTGCTAATATTTTATTCAGAGCAAAATAGGGCAAGATTAAATTTAGCTTGTGAATTGGAAATGTCTTCAGCAAGATTCAAAGGGTGGAGTCATTCATTCAACAAATATTTTTTTGGAAAAACAAGCATTTTTTTGATATATATTGTATTCTAAGGGAATCTGATGGCATAATCAGTTAAGTGATGTGCTGCTAAAGAAAGGTCAGTATTCCAAGCCCACCAGGCACTCTATAGGAGAAGAACGGGCAGTGATTTACAGGCAACAATGAATGTTTTTTTAAAAAGTGAACTGGGGGGCATTAGGGAGGAAAACGTGCAACAATGAATGAATGAAAATCCAACTTTTCTGAAAACTTTCATTAAAATCACACACAAACACACACCAATATTTACAGGCTTGGAAGTCTGGTTTGGTTGCTATTAGAAGTGACTTGGGCAGTGAGTGTGGTTTGCTTTATTTCTGGCTTTACCATATTATTATAAAGGAGTCCTCGTGGCAATACGGTTAAGTGTTTGGCTGCTAACCAGTAAGGCAGTGGTTCAAACTCACCAACTGCTCCATGGGAGAAAGATGAAGTAATCTGTTTCTGTAAAAACGTACAGCCATGGAAACCTCATAGGGTATAGTCCCACTCTGTCCCATAGTGTCACTATAGTAATGACTTGATAGCAACAGGCATGCGATTTTTAAATTTTTTTTTGTTTGATAATTACTCATTTAGCTGTTGGAGAACTGAACAAGACAGAGAGAAAACTAAAGTCCTGCCTTTATCATTATAGCGCTTACACTGAGAATGTGGAAATAAAGAACAAATAAGTTTAAAGATACAGACTCCAGAAAGGGAGCAGTCTCAAACAGAGGAGTAGTAACTGTAAAGGAAAAGGAGGGATAACCACAAACTACCAGAGAATTTTTATTATGTTTGGGTAACTTAGAAACAGTATTACAAGAGAAACAAAGAAATTGGAAAAACGGCTCTGTGGGGGAAGAATGGGCAAGAAGGGGCTTATTTTAGATTTTCAGGGTCAGAAGTGCCAGTAAATTTAGCACATGGAAATCCAAGGTGCTAGGAAGTGAGGTTTAGAGATCCAGACTAGAGAACAGAAAGCAGGCAGGTACTAGTGGAGCATATGAGGGAGAAGAGGAAAAGCAGTGAAAGACAAAAAACACAAAGGATAGTCATGCAACTGACAAATATTTTTGTTGTAATAACGTAAACAAACAGAAACCCAGAGAACTGTAAGGCAAACAGACGTCTTAAGAAGGAAATGGGTAAGACTGGGCAAAAGAGCTGTCAGTGTCTCCTTACCTGTTCATTCTTTTTCTGAACCCATTCCTTAAGCTTTTCTTCAGCAATTATTTTTCTTTTTTCTCGTTCTTCCATTTTTTTCCTGTTTTCTAGTTGTTGATTTATTTCCTGTGGATTTTTTTTAAAGAAAAAGTAACATATTAAAAAATATTGAGGAAATCAAATGAAAGAAAAATATATTATTTTCTTCACTGAATACCTATCATGAGAGACACTAACTTAAATAACTAATCTATGATGAAAAAAAAAGCACTGGTAAAAAGTAGAAATCATTTTTTAGAAATGCAAATAATTGCTTGGCAGCAAAACACTAGTTTCTTAGACTAAACTTCACCTAAATTACCTTCATTGAAATTAACTTTCCCACACATAAATTTTGGCATCACTGTAAGGTACTAGCAGAAACTCAAGAGAATTGCACTATTGTTTAACACTTATTAAAAAAGCATCTAGATCCTTAATAAAGATAAGGGATAGATATTAAATGACCCCAAATTAAAATTTCAATTCAAAGTTTCAACAAATAAGAAATATCAGTCATTCAACTTCCTTTAGAGAAATAAATAATCCAGATTTCTCCCCTCTGCAATTTTAGAGCTTCTGGAGTGTAAAACAAACCCACATTCATATCCCAGGTTATTTAACTGCCTTGCTGTCATTTGAGTCAACATGTTTAGGCATTTCCTCAGGAGAAAGAATGTGGAATGTATGGCCAAATAAAACTACAAGCTGAATGCCACCACTCTGTCACTCGTCAGTTAAATTACCGCATTAGTTGAGAATGCTATCCAAACTAGGCTTTTAGGACCATGCTACTATCATTATCAGTTATTTTTCTTTTCACTCCTTATATAGTAACAATTGATACTTTTTTCCATCTTCCACTTTTCCTCTTCCTAAGTCTTTTCTACCCAGTGACAGGTGGTAATAGGTAACTATGAAAAAGAAAATTCTATACTAAGAAGACAGCGTTTACCCTTTAGAACACTTAGGCCTAAGATACCTACCTCCCATGATAGCTCACCCTAAAATTTTGCCGCATAGAAACAACTGCCTCTACTCACTCTAAAAAGTCTTCTAATTCTTTAACATTACACATTAATAGGAAAAATATTTATGTTGAGTTTAAGGATTCTTCATTACTTCTGCATGTGCTATTTCTTCATTACACATTTAATGCGTACTTATGGAATTCCTAGTAAGGAGCTAGTATTAACTGAGACTTAAAGATGAAATTAAATAATTATCTGAGCTAATCTAATTTTATATACACCAAAAAAACCTAAGGCTACTGGCTATGATAGCTCAAAGAATAGAAGAGAAATAAAGTGACAGAAAAGAAGGAAGTATGGTCCATGGTATGAATGAAGGCAGTCAGAAACGAGCAAGCACCATTAAACGGACAGTAAGAAGATGGCTTGATTAGAAGGGAAAGTTGAGCGAGGCAGTGAAAAATCAGAGTGTGGTACTGATTACAGACACAAGAATGTCTCTTAGGATAGGCAAAGTAGGAATGAATACATGGCAAAAAAGTCAACTGAGAGCTCTTAATGAGCAAGGTTAGAGACTCCATTTGAAAGAAATAAGAGTTATGTGGAAGGAGGCCTCTAGGTAAGATGTCAGAATATGGACTGGAAAGGGCAAAAAAGGTTTCGACTTGTGTCAGATAAGAAATGTACACAAACATAACACTCACCTCCATCAAATCAGAACTGACTCACAGCTGACCCTCCAGGTTTTGTCAGGGACCACATATCACATGGGAGATTGTCTATCTTTCTCCCACAGAGCAGCCCTTAGAGTCAAACTGCCAGAGAGGAGCTTCCTTGGTTTAGCAGAGAAATCCTTACGAACTATACAACTAGAGCTCAAATACATGAATGTAAGGACTTTTAAATGACTTGACTACCCTTTCAACTTTTATCTTTTAAATTTTAAAAGTAGAAAATAACACAGAATAAAAAAAAATACTAAGTCTGACCCATTTATTTTTAAAATAAATCACAGTATCCTGGAGAAAGCTCTTAAACTGGGAGTTATAACTCAGGTTACAATGTCATGTCCACCTCTAACTAAAATCGTGGCAATGTTACTTCTTTGGTCTTCGTGCTTTTTATCTAGAGTAGGGATATGCTAAAAATGAAACAAAGACAAAACCATGAAAAGAATATAAAAAGTCAAAATATCATTAAATTAGTGTATAATAAATTGAATAGCTGGTCTACATGTTATGATGTCCTTGGCATGATTTGTCTAGGTAAGATTTGTGCTAAAATGTTTCCGTTGATTCAAGGTTAGTAAAGAAGAAATATCAAGCTACTATTACATGACAGAGTTTTCAGCTCTCAGTTGAATTACAAATAATTAAATCCTGCTTAACTATGTGTAACGCACTAATACTGCTTAACTTCTATGTGTATACTTAATATAGACAATTAAACTTCACTTTGTCCATTGTTAAATGTACATATGATCAATAACTCTGTGTGTGTATGTGTGTGTGTGTGTGTGTGTGTGTATATATATATATATATATAGTTTTAAAAATGTATATAATAGAAAATCTGGAGCTCTAGTGATGTAGTTTGTAGCATATTGTACTCTTAACCAGAAAGCTGCACGTCCTTGTGTTATAAATCCACTAGCTGTTTCTTGGGAGAAAGATGAGCAGTCCTTCTGTGAAACCCAACAGGTTGCTATGAGTAGGGATAAACATGATTTAACAGTGAGAATGAAAAATAAGAAAATCTTCAAGTGGTGAACACATATTTTCATTTTTAAAATTACATTTCTCTGTATTTTCCAAATGTATTTATAG